TAGAACAGGAACAGAACCACAGAAATGGAGATCACATAGAGAGTTAGCAACAGGGTAGTGGGAGGAGGAGAGAGGGGGAAAAGGTACAGAGAATAAGTAGCCTAGATGGTAGACAGAAAATAGGGGGAGGGCAAGAATAGTATGGAAAATGTAGAAGCTAAAGAATTTATGACGCATGGACATGAACTAAAGGGTGGGAATGTGGGGTGGAGAGGGTGTACAGGGTGGAGGGGAATGAATGGTGGAAAATGGACCAACTGCAATAGCATAATCAATAAACTATATTTAAAAATGATGTTAAAATATATAGACCCATGTATATAAAGTTGTTTATGTAGAAAAGATCATGTGCTATAAATTATGCTGCATCAACTAGGTAATGATGTAGAAAAGTGTGAACTTGACCTCTACCACACAGCATCACAAACACAGCATCACAAAAATATACATTCCCAAAGTATTATAGACCTAAATGTAAAAGTCCATCAACAAAGAAAAAAGATAAACCATAAAGAATAATGAGGTAGATTATCTTCATGAACGTTGACTAACTTGTGAAATATGTCCAAAATAACCACCAACACCCAAAACGAGATATTGGAACATGATAACTTTGATAAGTCCTGGTCATTGAAAGACTCCAATATGAGAAGAAAAATGTAATTAACCAAGAAAGCCATTTGCATATCAGAAATTCAAAAAAGAATCATATCTAAAATATAACTACTTCTAAGAATGAAAATAACAGTTAATATACTGGAGAAATGGTCAAGAGACATGAATGGGCACTTCTCATTCTCACAGTACTGAAATTCATAATGAACGGTGCTCTGAAAGGTGTGTTCAATTAATCAATATGAGGAAAATACCTATTAAAGTCATAATGATGTTTTATATAATGATCAGAGCTGATGGCACTAAAATTTCTGGCAGTACTAGCTTTGGATCATGAAACTATTGGATACAATGTGTATTTACATAACAAAGTAGAAAGTGCAAGGATAATTTACATACACATATATTTTTGACCCTGCAATTTCAGTCTGATGCAAAAAGGCAATGCATTTTAATTAAATGCATATATCCTTATAACAACTACATTTATAAATTATTATTATTATATTTTTACAAACACAACACTTATAGCATATCAATTTATATATTATATGTATTGTATATAAATTATTTTAAATATGATATATTATTTGGACAAAAGACATACACAAGGATTTTAATCAAATAATTATTCATAACAACCACATATTAATAACATCTCTATTCTGAGCAGAATAGATTAAAGAATGACCGATATGTACAATATATCAGTGAGAATTAACAAAATCAGGTACACTTGATAATATGGATTATGTGAAAAACTATCATGTGGGAGTTTATGGAGACATGTAAGATGCATAACGAATGATACACATTATATAAAATTCAAAATTAGACAAAGATAATTTGTGATATAAAATATCAGAACAGTGGTTAAGTGAGGAGAGAGGAGAAGTGCGCAGGAACAGGATGGCAACACCTATTTCATGACCAATTTCTATCTGCAACACGCACAATCACATTTGTAGTTTCTATAATGCATGTAAAATTAAGTAGCAAAGTTTAGAAAAAAGCATTTATAGAAGCATGATTATCTGTGAAAATCAAGAACTGAAAATTATCAAATGTACATTAATGACATAAATATAAATCAAATATAATATCCAAACAATAAAACATTAACAGTCTTTATAATAAACTACAGATATACACAAAAAATTAATTCTATAAAAGTATAAAATAAAATAATCTTTTAAGTAAAATGTTAGAAACATTAAAAATCTTACCATTTCTTCTTCATTATCTATATAGAGCAGGTTAGAGCTCTTAGAAGCACAGGCCACCAAACTCTCATTTCGTGTTTTTCCTTCAGTGCTGATGTAATAGCAGTTGTTGGAATATGTAAACCACCCCAGTGGACATTGACCACAATGATATGCTAATGGAAGATTATGTATTGTCACCCAAGAACAATGTGAATTTTAAAATGAAAATTAATTTCAGTATTTGCATGGATATAGACAAATTAGTGCACAATTTATGTATAGACCCTCACAGACTGGCATATATAAAGCATAATTCACTCATACACACTCACACACACTCACAGAGAAGGGTCAGCCCCTCACTCCCTCACTTATGTGCCCATATTAAGCAAACACACAAACAAAAATATCCATTTTCTATATGTCCTGAATGTCAATGAATGAAACCACATTTTTATAATACCAAAATTATCTTATAATACCAATTGGCAACAATGAACATGATGTATTTAAATGAATATTTCCTCATATTTTTGCATAAGAAATATACCCTTCTTACTGATTATTTATGTACATTTATTGCATGGTATCATAATTTATATTCCCCCACCAAAAAAAAACCCTATAAATTTTGACTGTGTTAGAGACAAGGTAGGAGCTGTATTGATATGGGAACATAGAAAAAAATTAGGTACCTTTCTGGTTCCCTGTATGGTTCTCTGCTGTAACTGTCGGTTTCACTGTTAAATAATATATAATTTATATTATGTACAAGAAAGAAGAATTATTCTGCACCAGTATTACATTAATTATGTAAAAGAAGTAAATTGCTAGAAAAAGAAGTAATGATTATAAAAAAGTAATATTGATCTACATGAATCATACTACTTTTGTTTCTTAGTTTGAAATGTGGTATATTTTCTGGGAATAAAATGACCTAGAATAAAATTGATTTTACCAAGAAAAATTAATGAAGCCATGATAATTTGGGGGATAATATTTCCAAAGCCTTGAGAATCAAACTTCACCATCTTAGTTTTGGTCTAATCAATAAGAAGAATTTATTTTTATTTCTCAATGACGTATCCTAAAGAAAGTCTTGAATTATTATACAAGTGTGTGTGTATGTGTGTGTGTGTATGGATATATATGGGATATGTACATATATATATATACACATATTTATAAATTACTCTCTAAAATTTTTCTGATATTTATACCTTGGACAAATTTTGTACAGAGTAAAATTTTGTTCTTAGTCTATAGGCATACTTTAAAATGAGACTTTATAATATTATGATGTGTTTAGAAGCTCTGATGAACATAAAAATAATGAATTTTTAACTGAACACAATTTGAATTAAAAAAGGAAAAATTATCCTACATATATGCATAGGTATATACACATATCAGCACAGAATCTGTGCACACTTACAGGATAATACATATAAAACAAAAAGCATCCATATATGCATCATGCAGGAAGGTCATCTCTCATCTCCTATTGTTTGTGACCACATTCAAAAGCAAATAAAAAATATATCCATTTTCTAATGCCTAGGACATCAATGAATGCAACCACTTCTTATGTAGGATAGTAATGTTATTTGTTCATCTTTTAGAGCCATAGGACATATAAACAAATTGGTCTCAAAGGGTGAGTGATTTTACTTCATTCACTTATTTTTTATCCTAATATGAGGATATGCTTATTGATTGTAAGGAGAGAGGAAGGGAGAGAAAGAGAGAGAAAAACAGTGATTTGAGAGAGAAATATTGATGAGTTGCCTCTCATACATGCCATGAACAGGTATCGAACATGAAACCTGGGATGAGCCTTGACCAGGGATCAAACCTGCAATCTTTTGGAGTATGGGATGACAGTCAAATCAGCTGAGTCACTGAGGCAGACCTGGATATGGTAATTTTAAATATATACTACTTCATATTGCATGAGAAAAAATCACTCTCCTATAATCATTGTTTATGAACATTTATTGCTAATTTCATCATTTATATTCTTCCTCACAAATTATATCTGTGCCTTCTCGAAAACAGAGAAAATATAAACTGTACTAAAAACAGAACTTTGAAAATCATAATGTGTCTTTTTCTGTCCTTGCTACTGTGGACAAATTGCTCCTCTCCAGTTTTACAGTACCTAGAAAACATTACAGTGATTCTTAAAATAAAAATTAACACTGATAGAATTAAAACGAGGAGCTCCTACTCTTTGCAACAGCATGGGTGCAGCTGGAAAGTATTATGCTAAGTGAAATAAGCCAGGTGGTGAAAGACAAATACCATCTGATCTCACCTTTGACAGGAACCTAAACAACAAAATAAAGAAACAAGCAAAATATAACTAAAGACTTTGAAATAAAGAACAGACTGACAGAGTTCAGAGGGGAGAGGAGAGGGAATTTCAGGGGAATTTCAGGGTTTACAGGAACAAGTATAAAGGACACATGGATAAAAACTAGGGGAGAGAGGAAATGGGAGGGAGGAGGGGAGGGCTGGGTGGGTGGGTTGGGATAGGAGTAAAAGAGAAAATTGTACTGCAACAATGATTTAAATAAAGTTAATAAAAAGAAAACTATCAAATCTGAAATAAATACATAAAGGAGTTTCATATTCACCCATAGCTTAGTGTTGACTGTATAATATTGAGTCTTAATACCCAGTAATGTGTGTTACAGTAGAGTGCTTTACAAATATTGTCTAATAAAAACAAACCAAGTTTAAAAAAAACATCAAATTTTAGTTTCTTAGTTTAAAATTTGGTATATTGTTTAGGAGCAGCAAAATCTGAAATAAAATTGGTTTCCCCAAGGAAAATTAATAAAATAATGTAGATTTAGGGGAGGAATATTTCAAAACACTTTGGATCACACTGTGCCATTCCTAAAAATATTGGTTTAACCAATCTCAAGAATTAATTTGTATTTATCAATAAGGTCTTTTAGATTGCTAATGCATATATTTGAATAATGAAATCAAAATATACAAATAGATATAAAAATCTCTCTATGATCATTCTCTTATTTATTCATATGACAAATTCACAACTTTCCACATTTACCTAAATGCTTACTTTAAAAGCAGAGCTCTATTCCACAATATATTAACATGTTTAGAGAATCATTCAAGTGAGAAGTTCTCTTAGAATATTTCAAAAACTTACTTACACAGAATCATTCTTACTAAAGTGTACATCAAGGTAAAGCAGATGACTCCCAGGATCCCAGCAATGAGCTTTTCTGGTGGGGATGGTGAATCTGCAGCAAGAGAAAAACAAATGGAGACATTGGTTGGACAGATTTCAGAGAGAACCCAAATGCACAGGGATCCATATAAATAAACTTGGACCACCCCCAAACCAAGTCTTCCACTGCAATCTTCCCCCCAGGTTACAGCACTTTTTGTCAGGAAATACAATCCTCACTGAGTTTCTGGTCAAAGACAGCACCTTACAACGATGTCTGAATAAATCACTGCTCAGATTTCATATTAAGACACTGTTTTGCAACTTAAAGCTCTGGCCTTCACAAATGAAAAAATATGTCAGCTAAGTCCCTAGTCTTTCCCTCACACGTCTTCACGCCAACTGCACATCCCAGAACAGTTATACTGTGTGTCTGTTAAATGTGTCACCTGTGCAGTGGTTCTTGTTATTCCCTGGAAGATCTTGTAAAGCATTTCCATACTCGATTTCCACAGAGGACAGGTGCTGTTCTGTTTGTAAAATGAAACTTTTCACACCCTTGTCTTTCCTTTGCTGTCTCCTGGAGTCCTTAGCCAGATTCAGTTCTGACTCGTTTTCTCTCTGAAGATCCATCTCTGCAGCTGAGTAATGTCAGGGGTGGTGCTTGTGATGAAAGTACTTCAGTGTTAATACGTGATGTTCACATATCACTGACAGGATCCCTAGGAGAGTCAGCGTGGGTGGAGTGTAAGAGAAGAAACAGTACTCACTTTGCATTTGACCAACATGAAGTCTTGTTTTCATTTACTTAGAGCTTCAACTCAGTGATTCTGAAGAATAATGGTTTTTAAAATGATATACTATGTTTGACATGATATTATTGGTTGAAGCAGTGAAAAGTAACAAGAATAAAGTAGTTCATCATAATATCTTTATAAAGTCAGATTCCACTGAAATATTTTAACATTGTTAGAATAACAGTGAAAACTAAAATACTGTATGAAAAAAATGCACCAATTTTAATGACATTTCTAAATCCACTCACGTTTAAAGACTGAGTGATCTAAAGTCGGAGGAATAGTAGTGTTAGCATATATGGTGATTAACTGCAATAAATTAATGTAATTTTGTCACTTAACAATTATTGGGTGAAAGGAGAGAAGAGGTGCTATCAAATATTTTATTTTGAATAATTGTACAGTCCTGAGAGATCAGTTAAATTTTAATGAAATTCTTTATATGTTGAAATGTTACATGATACACTAAAGTTACCCAAAGCTCAATAAATAATAAAAGCAATAGGACATTAAAGGATATTCAACACACTTTCCACCAGTAACTTGTAATTTATTTAATGGTTAAACATGAAAACACACAAAACGATAAATAAACGTGTTGTAGATCATTTACAGAGAAACCTGTTGCTTCAAATGTCCAGAAAGACCCCTCACCTGTCACACTCTGTGAAGGCAGCTGTGGTGCACAGTAAAATGTAATAAATCAGGAAATGCAATTTAATAATTCGGTCATTGGATGCTGCACTCAGTGACATTTGGAATATAGTCTGCCTTTGAAATTTATAATGTATGGCCTTTAGTAATTAGTGTCCAGCAACCTAGTTTGCTAATTAAGGTGGGAATGAAAACGTGTGACATACAATGCATGTAAAACAATTAATACTCCATCATATATTTGCAAGCTTCCCAAAGTTACTTAATTTCAAAGTTATTCAATTTCAAAGTTACTCAATTGTAATACATTTGCTATGTTACTATTTTTACTTATATCAGACAGTGTAACAATTCCTGCCACAGGAGCATCTTATCAATGTGGTACCTCTTTTTGCAATATATTGTCCATTTCTAAAAATCTTTTGATTATTTATAATTAAGGTATATAACCATTTTACAGAGACTATAAATTGATTTTTACCGCAAGTCAAATAGCTTTTATTTAACTAAAATGAATTTTTGAAGAATTATATTTGACCTTCATGATTGGATGAATTCATTTTAAGAATCTAATTTTATGGTCTGCATTAAATATGAAGTAATACACATAATTATTATATCTGTTAATTACAAAATCCAAAGTTAACTGCTCCTTGTCAGGATGCTTACAGCTTTCCATTTAAGTTATCCTGATTTTCAAACCAAAATATGCATGTGGTGGCTTCTTAGTAATTTTGCACAGGCAAAAATTTGAATTTTTTTCCTATTTTACTCTTTACCCTAAAGTATCAGAAATGAATACCAGTGCTTTCTTTGATTTGATTGCGTATTAATTGTACTTTATTTCTATCACATCTCACATTTCTAATTTCCCCTTAAACAAATCGGGTCTGTAGAGACACAGGAGAGGAGAGACACATACCTCTGGGAGCCAGAAAGTCGTGCATCCTTCACAGGAGACCTGCTGACTCCCGTCTACAAGCAGTGTCTGTGGTCCTCACAGACTGCCCCCTGAACACTGAGAGTGAGGCAAAATTAGAAAAAAAGTAGATTTCTCATCACTGTGTCACTTAAAGTTTCAACAGGAAACTCTTATACTTGGGCAATTTTATGATGGTTTATCTCATCACACACCTCCAGAACATTGGAGGCTGTGAGCTTGTAGAGTGTCATTTAGTTTGTGCATTCATAAGTGCCCCTGAGAAATCAATCACTTGCATATTCCTGAAGATTTCTGGGAAAAAAAACTTGTCTACCCTACTCTTAACTTACCTACATCTTAAAATTTACAAACACTGAAATTTTAGGCCTTGTTAACAATATCTTAGATGTTTCAGTCCTACTCTTGGAAAATGTTGCTAAATACTGGCATTATTTTAATTTATTTATACACTCATTGTCTCTTAGTTATAATGGAAAAAGATAAAATCATAATCCCATTAGCAACAGGTACTCAATGATATTTGTCACTAATATTCTGAGGAATGACTGCATTTTCAACTAAGGATTATTGTCAGAAATATTAATGCCCAAACTTACCTCTTCAATTTCTCTCCCTTCATTTTTTTAATTGCTGAATTAAATTTGTTATTTTTATATAAGGAATTTATATTTTCCCTGATAAAAATAAGTGTCTCTAAAGGAGAAAACATTAAACAACATTGTACTATAATGCAATGAAAGAGATTGAAATATGAAATTGCTACTCATTGTATTATTCATTAATTCATCCTCCAATCATAAATTGCTATCTGTATTTTAATAGAAATATTCGTTGTAAATGACAAAAGCCAAAATACAATGGTGTAGGATGAATACAGAAGTAATTTCAAAAAATTTAACCTAATCAAAATGGGGGATGGCAAAAAAAGTAGCTTTGAAAACACAAGTGAAATGACACATGAATCTCAAAAGAAATTAAACATTAAATGTGACTCATCTAGTATCTATCAAATGGAATTATTTTCATCCTTCTCATGTTGTATCATGAAAAGAGGAAATGTTTATCTATTATCCCTGGTGAGTTACAATTGTATAAGTACCATGTCATCCAGCAATCCCACTTCTGGGTATATATCCAAAGGGACACACTTATTATGAAGTGTCTGAATTCTCAGGTTCTTTGAAGCCTGTTCACCATAACCAAGGTGTAAAAGCAACCTAAGTGTGTTTAATGGATGAATGGATTAAAGTTATACACACACTTACACACCCAATGAAATATTATTCAGCTAGGAGAAAAATAAATTTTTCTCACTGATGACCAGGATGAACCTGAAGGCATTTTGCTGAGTGAAATAAGTGAGACAAAGAAAGACTAATGCTGCATGGTATCATTTATATGTGAAATTTAAAAATAACAAACTCAGAGAGTAATTGTTGTCAGGGGCTGAGAGTAAGAATACAAGAAGTTGGTAAAAAGGTTCAAACTTTCACTTGGAAGAGGAAGAAGGCTAAGGATCTAATGTATCACTTGGTGGCTGCAGTAGACAACACTGTATCACATAACTGAAGGTCACTCAGACATGGATCTGAAATGTTCTTACCAAAGGGGAAAAAGGTAACAAATAAACACAGATTATAAAACTTTCAGTTGATACGGAACCCTGCTGTATATGAAAAGTTCTAAAAGTAAATTCTAAAAATGGGCAGTTACAAAATTGTTTTGGGGATGTAAAGGTTAGGAAACATGGTCAATAATATTCAAATAATCACACAGAGTGATGGGTGGGGACTAGACTTATTCGGTGATCACTTCATAAGTTATATAAGGGTCTGACCACTATGCTGTAACCTGAAACTACTCTCTAATGTTATTGGATGTCATCTGTAATTGAAAAATAAAAATTAAAGTAAAATTGCATCTGCAAAATTAAAAAGACATTCTGTAATATGGTCTGATCTCATTGTATAGGTGCAATTTTAGAAAGCCCCATGAACAACATTATTACTTATTACATTTTAGACTCTGAAAATAATTTAAGTCAGAAAATCATGGGATGAAATGTATGGACTTTAAACGATGTAATTCATTCACCCAAAAGAACTGAGAAGCCAATGCATCTTTCCTAAGGCTGTGATATGTTTCTGCATTTGGGTAAAAAAAAAAAAAGGGGGTTCCAGATGTTTTTCTATTTTGGGAAGAGAAGGCAAAATTATATAAAGTTCTAAGCTCATTTTTTGGGAAATCTGTTTTTAAATTTACTTAATGGATGAAATGAAGAAATGTCTTTATAGCATCAAAAAGTTTGTTTACATTACAGCTTGGGAGAGAGAAACCATCATTTGACTGATGCTTTTACTCTGTAAACAATTAGCTTAGCTGTGTCTATTAGTCTAAAATGAGTTATCTGGGAAATACCCACCCAAAAGAAAATTATGCAGTCTCAGGTATGACATATGTTGCCATTCTTTTTGTAATTATTTTTTCTCTGCTTTTCACTGTGTCTCTAAATTGTCAAAATCAATAAATGTTGTAGGATAGGGAAAACATGGACTAATACTCAGAAACAGAAAGGGCAAAAAATCACCATGTGGTCTGGTAACTCTACTTCTTTTGTAAGGTCTTATTTATTTATTTTTAGAGAGAAGGGAGGGGAAAGAGGGAGGGAAAGAAACATACTGTCTGGTTGCCTGTCACACCCCCTCTACTGCTACTGGGGACCTGACTCGCAACCCAGGCATGCGGTCCTGATTGGAAATCAAACCAGGGACCCTTTGCTTCACAGGCTGCCACTCCATCCACTTAGCCATATCAGCCACCACATCATCTCTCCACTTGGTATGTGATTAGTACAAAAATATCTTTTAAACAGATTGTATCATTGCCAGGTGCTGAATGTTATGAGGAAACTGTGGAAAGTGTAGTTGGTCATATTAAGTGGGGAATAAAACAGACACATTGTAAACTGTACAAATGTAGCTCTCAGTCTTTGAAAATGAGGTATATTAAACATAGGATTTACCTTCAAATAAATTCAAATTTTGATAATTTCTGTTTTTCATTGTTGTCCAATTACAGTTGTCCCAATCCCCCCACCACCACTGGTCTCTCCTGCCCCACCTACCCCTGCTTCCACAGTCAATTCCCATGCTGTTGTTGATGCCCATGGGTCCCTCCTAAACATTCTTTCATAGACACTTCTCCTCTTTCCCCCACTATGTCCCTCTCTCATCCTACTG